GAAAGGGAGGGCGTGGGGAGAAGGGAAGGGGAAGGTCATAAGGTGAAGGGAAAGGGGAGGGCGTGGGGCGAAGGGATGGGGGAGGGCGTGGGGAGAAGGGAAGGGGTCGTATAACTTCGTATAATGTATGCTATACGAAGTTATTACGTCTCCCCACGCCCTCCCTTTCCCTTCACCCTATGACCTCCCCCTTCCCTTCTCCCCATGACCTCCCCTTTCTCTTCGCCCCCTTCCTTCCAGGCACCTCCACGCACTCATGGAAGGCTGCCAGGTGGTTATCAAGGTGGTTACAGCATAAAACTTTTTATAACTCGTTTCACTACTCTGGCTTATGCATTCCTTTAGGTTACATGTTATTTTAACTATAATGTATATATATGAAAGGAAAGAACAAAATGCCAATGGCAATGGAAGAAAGGAATCTGGAGCCTTTCGAAGGATAAATCGAATCACTGCAGGTATTATTGCTTGTCTAAACCAGACGTTTATCCCGTGTCAGCCAGTGGTCGTCGATGAGATTGATGTATTAGCTATTGATGTAACTTTCGTCTTTGCGTGCTGCACATCTGAGAGGCTTTTAAGAAATCGAAAGCACGATCTGAGCGCTAAAACACACCACTGTCCATTTCCAGTGTCCTATTTAGCCTGACGGGGGAGCAGCCTTGTTGCCAATCCACCCGGCTCTGAGTCAGCTAGCGAGGTCTTCTCGTCCTCCCCTGAAGCCGCGCTGGACCCGGCGCCGACGCTTACGTCAGCTTGCGCCTCTTGGAGGCCTCCTCTAAAAAAACGCCTTGTTGTTCACGACAGGAGGCTGCTCGTTCGCCCCCGACTCTTCGGCCGCCTTCGCCGACCGCGGGTGCACCACGATGAAGTCATCCTGCATGTCCGGCGCTCCATTCTGTTGCTGCTTCTTGGGTGTGTGCCTCGGCGTCTGGACGCAGCCCGGGGGAGTAGGCGTGTCCCTTGCGAACTTGAGAGAAAGAGGAACGTTCAGCGGGATTTCTCCCCTGCTGATGGACCATCCATCTGAGTAAAAGAAACACATCCTACTTGACATTATTTCAAAGTCATGCTAAGCGGCTATCTACAACTACTAGTAGCAGACTTGCAGACTTTATGCTACAAGCAAGATAAACGCCATCATTTATAGATTCATCAGCCAAATAGTTATCGGTCTACATATGATGTATACCTTGCTCTACCTCTTAATTAGCCTGGAACTTCTCTGGAGCATGCCATTCATAAATGACGCATGTGCAATTGCTCATCCGCATGCATTAATTCTAGTTTCTAACTTCTCTGTAAACTACTGTTATTCGCACTGAAAATCATATAACCGCACATAAGAAAATGCTTGATTTAATTCATCCATAACTGTTCCTTGGTATTCGAATGCATCTGAAGTGAGGCAGGAACAGCAAGAGGCAACGTCGCTGCTAACCTCCGTCTTTCCGAAGCCGGTCGTTCTCGCCCTTCAGCATGTAGATGTAGGCGGCCAGACCCACGCTGATGACCACCATGACGCCCGTGGCCATCCAGCCCGACACGACCGCCGCCATGCTGCGCGCGGGCGGCGGAGGCGGGGAGTCGTCGCACGGCGGCAGCGGCGTCGACGACCAGGCGGAGTTCGAGCCGAGCTTCTGGTCGTTGCTCGGGGATTTGATCAGGTTGAGGAAGGCCGAGGGCGTGGGCGGGGCGGCGGTGGGGTCCTCTGTGGGCGAGAGGCAGTGAGACGGAGGACGGAGGGAGAGGGAGAAGAAGAGGGAGGGAGAGGGAGAGGGAGGGAGAGGGAGAGGGAGGGAGAGGGAGGCAGAA